ACCCGTGTCCCCTGCATCGGCAGGCGGACTCTCAACCACTGCGCCACCAGGGAAGCCCAATAGTCCAGCTTTAACAAAACCGGAACAACTATACTACAGCTCTAGGAGGTGGGCAGTGCAGAGTCCACACTGTCACCTCTGTTCTCTATAAATAAGAACACAGGTTCACTGACTTCCCCAGATCAACCACAAGTGGTGGATCTGCAGAAAGTCACGTCCATGGACTCCAAATCCCCTAAATTTGTCACTCTCCACACCTCACCTGAAAGGCAGCCAACACAATGAGGTTGCCTGACACCTGGGGCTCCGGGTCAGGTTGGAGGACTGAGATAGAGCCTGGTGTCCTTCCATGTTTCCCCAAAGCTGGGCTGTGTCCTCACAAGGAGCTTTGCATCCTTTCTTCCTCCCCCCTTGGGTTCCCTACCCTGTCTTCTTTCTGGCACTAAACATGGCTGCTGCTCTTGGCACTGATCACACCTGTCAAGGGCCAGCCTCTGGAAAGTGTTCCATTTGGCTGCCAGCTCTGTATAAGGCCTCTTCTCCACTGAAGAGCACTGGCTTCCCTCCCTGAAATCATCACCCGCTGGAGAAGGGTCAGTGATCAGAGGCAGAGGAGCTTGTTGTGCAGGAACCGACAGAACCCCAGAGAACCCATGGAGGCCACCTTAGAAAAAGTCACCAGGGACTTCAAATACATCACAGAGCATAAGGAACTCTCTCTCTGTGATAGATTTTTTTGCCAACATGGTCTAGGCCAATCACAATGGGGAGGGCGCTGGTCCACACGTGTGTTCCTGGGGTGTTATTCTGGGCTCTGGGCTCGGATAGTTCAGTGTGCAGCCCTCAAAGATGCAGCTGGGCAACGCCTTGACCTGCTTAAAATGGAGGTGAAGGGCTTCCCTGGTGGCGCAGTGGTCGAGTCTGCCTGCCGATGCAGGGGACATGGGTTCGTGCCCCAGTCCGGGAAGATCCCACGTGCCGTGGAGCGGCTGGGCCCGTGAGCCACGGCCACTGAGCCTGCACGTCCGAAGCCTGTGCTCCGCCACGGGAGAGGCCACAACAGTGAGAGGCCCACATACCGCAAAAAAAAAAAGGAGGTGAAAATGGACTCAGGCTGTGGGCCTTTGAAGACCCACTTGTACACTTCCTGGTAGATGTCTCTTCCTAATGGGGAAGGCTCCCTGGGGAATCTAGACACGCTCAGTGAGTCAGAGACCATATCAGAGTAGGTGTTTCCGCAGGCAGCTCCAAGAGACGCTTGTAGCTACCCCGTTCCCACCCTGTGTCCTGCAACAGGCTGCAGACAAGAAATATTTTGCCCTCAAATGTGTCTATAATCTATGCGTGGCTCATGTGGCCCTGCCTCTGTGCTGATTCTGTTTGGTCCTGGTTTGCCTGTCTAACCCCATGGATCTTCATGCTCTCCCTTTCTAGAGACCAGATGGGTTATTAATGTGTAGAAGAAAACAGATGAGAGCTAAAAGATCAGCACTCAGCAGGGGACCGGGCCAAGCCAGGCTGAGGGGTCCATGGCTCGTGAGTCGGGTGGGGAACATTGCTCAGGAGAAAGGCTGTCGGGAGAGACAGCGCAGTGGGGTTTGGAACCCATGGACGCACAGGGTTTGGACGATACTGGCTGGGTCTGGGTTTCCTTAAGTCCCCCCAGAGGTCTTCTAGCCAGCCAAGGGGGCGAAGTCTGGAATAGAGGTTGCAGACTGGATCTGTGGGCCAGGCTTGGCCTAAAGGTACAATAAATGTTGTGTGGTTCACACAATACTTCTTTTTCATTTCAATTAGTTGCCAATGTTTTTAAAATAGAAAGACTGATCTTTAAATTTTTACATCTGGATTTCCAGCTTCTTGTGAAAAGCAGTAATGGGCCTCCATGGGTGGTCAGCTAGAATTGCTGGCTCCTTTAGAAAGGATGTTTTCAGTGTGTAAGGGCTAGCAGGAGCTGCCTCCCCACGGGAAGCAGTGTCAATAGGCAGTCAGAAGGCCCCACGCTGTGACAGTGAAAGCATCTCCTTCAGAGCTCCTCAGGCCTTTAACAGGAGGCCAGGCTTGGCTCAGGGCTGGCAGAAAGAGGCAATTGTGGGCTTCCCTGGTGGCACAGTGGTTGGGAGTCCTCCTGCCAGGGCAGGGGACACGGGTTTGAGCCCTGGTCCGTGAAGATCCCACATGCCGCGGAGCAGCTAAGCCCGTGCACAACTACTGAGCCTGCGCTCTAGAGCCCACGAGCCACAACTACTAGAGCCCATGCTCTGCAGCAAGAGAACCCTCCGCAATGAGAAGCCCGCTCCCTGCAACAAGAGTAGTCCCCACTCGCCGCAACTAGAGAAAGCCCGCGCATAGCAACAAAGACCCGACGGAGCCAAAAATAAAGTAAATTAATTTAAAAAAAAAAGAAAGAAAGAAAGAGGCAATTGTTTGCCTCCATTCTCTGCCTTAAGGACGTGAGTCATGCTTGCTCCTACCATGAGCCCTGGGGCCCAGGATATCACAGTCTAACCAGGCAAGTCTCTGCCTATCCCCAGCTCAGAGGACACTTACGTATGTACTCCACGCTATATATAGATGGCATCACATCAGCACTGTGATGCAAGAATTAAGCGTCTTTTCAAACAGTATCAAGCAGATTTCCGGAAAGCATTAGCATGAGCAGAACATTCAATGTGGCATTTAGAGCTGGCAACCCAATGATCTCCAGTTCAGGCACCACCAAGCCCAGAGAACACATGAGTGGGAGCGGAGCCTCGAATGCCTATGACATGAACTCAGAATTCTCCAGGAAAGTACTGCACACTCCTTTCATTTTACCCTTGAAAGGCTGAGAGAATACAGTCAAAGTTATGGGCATAAAAATAACTTGGTTAAGTTCAGGAAGATCTTTCAACCCCAGAGGTAGCAAATAAGAGCTACTGCACTCCAGAATATAGCAAGCCAACACGTTCACCTCTACGGTACATGCAAACCACGTGACTGCTACCTCGGCCACGGCACACAAGAAAGAAGATTTAGAATAAACAGGATATAAGGGGCAGTTGAGCTTAAGACTTTTTTAAAAGTCTAAAATCCAGTCTATGGGATAATGCTTAGAAGGATAAGACAACCTCAGAGAGCTCAGGCACCACGATGGGGTCATTTTCTGACCTCCGATCGTGTGGTTACTCACCAGGCACTGCCTTCCTGAAACATCAGCCTTCTGCCGTTTTTCTGACATGTTCCCTTCCACATGCAAATTTTCTTGGTCTCTTTCTAGGTTTTTTTTTTTTTTTTTTTTTTTTTTACAGCCCCTCCCATCATCTTCCTCCCTGGTCCCCACCCCAGAACCGCATCTTTTGCTGTCTTGAAAATATAATCTAGTGGGTTGTCCCATGCACTCTTGTGAAAATGCTTTTGTGCCATTTGAGATTTTTCCATCAGGCTATTTTCTTTCCTGGGTCTTCAAAAGAAAGATTCAACTTTTAAGAGTAAATAAAAAGAAAGATTCCCTCCTGTTGCTACTCGGATTTCCAGGGAATACGATAAGCAAGAGAAATGGCATACCATTTAAACAGAAAATCAAATGGGGCCAAGAATGTGGTAACTTATTAATCAGTAATGAAAGGATAAACTAATAACAGCTTCCAAGCTGTCAGAAGTAGTTTCTACAAAGACGTTTGCATAAAAATACTGATTTTAAAAGAAGTTCTTCAAATGCACTCAAAGCTAAGAAACACCTAGAAACTAAGATATTTACCCCTAAGACCAAAGGTCATATTCAAAGCCTCTGTTCATTACTATGCTGTAGAGAAACAATTTGAATTTTATGCTGACCAAAGCAGTTAAAAAAAAAAAAAAGTTAGAGCTTGGGGGATGGGGGAGGGAGATTATAAGCAGTCTTCTAATTGAACCCACTCATTTTAAGAAATGGACTTTCATTCCTTAAATAATTAGTGAGCACCTTTTATGTGCCAAGTACTATACCAGGACCTACAAAGCATACACACATAAACTTCAGTCATGGTTTATTTTTCAAAATAACTGAAGTGCAAAAATGATGCAAGTTAAGGAAATTAGATATATTACTAGAGTTCATAAAATAAAATTTCTAATTAGCATCTCAACAGATTCTGAAAAGACTTTTGATAAAAATTCAACACCGCTTCCTAAAAATTGCAGCTCGTTATTTACAATGGGGTCAGACTGTTCAAGAAGAGTCAGTTCAATTATAATACTTTTGCTAAAAAAAAAAGTAAAAAAGGTCTAAGTGATAGTAAAGACAACGATACAGCAAAATTTAAAAGTGGAAAAAACTCGCTCTATGACGTTAAGCATAGAAAAGCTGAGGACTAAATCATATCTCTGGTGCAAATAGTGTTTTGTATATTATATGTACATATAACAAAAAGTCCCAAAGAGAAACAAGAAGACATTTAAGAGATGTTTCTGAATGGTAGAAGAGCAGCTAATTTTTTTCATTTTAATATGTATTAAATTATATTAAAATATTATTTATGTAATATGTGATCGATTTTATCAAAGAAAGCCACACAGAGTGAGAGGGGAAAGAGTGAGGGAAGGAAAGAGGCACAAAATAAGTTAATCGACTTTCGAAAACCCCAGATACCACTTACAGGGCAAAGGCGGCAACGGTGCCATGCCCGAACCGTGGGTTACTTGGTTATGAGGAGTTAGCCAGTTAAGTGTGTCCAGTGTGGATGGTGTGATAAGATGAGGAGGACATGGCCAGCAGAGAGCTCTGCACTGAACCAGGCCAGGAGAAAGTGCCCTGGGAATCTGTCAAACCAGCCCAACAAGTTATTCCTCCTGGGCCAGCCCTTCCCTGCCCTCCCCCTCCGGTTTCACCTACTGTGTAAACACCACAGGCTAAGCAGCCAACCCTCCCCTCCAGGCAGGACGGGAATGGAAGCAACGAGCTCTGTAACGTGGACCCAGAAAGGGGCTTGCCCACGTGAGCGGCTGCAGGACCCAAGGCCCTGGGTCCCACCCACCCTTACCTGTTGAAGCATCTCTTCAGCGGCATTGAGTTTCACCTGGTGTCCTTCCAGACACACTTCCAGGTCCCGAATCTTCTCTCCTTGGGCTTCCACTTGGTCTGTGAGGACACTCACCTGTCCCAGGAAATAAAGCAAGGGTGGAGGCTGGGACCGGCTCCCCGCTGGAGGGGAGCCGTGAAGCCACACCACTGATTCTTGATGGGAGAAGAATGGCTGCTGTTTTTGGTGGGTGGTAAGTGGGGGAAGTGTCCTGGGTGAAGGAAACCCCGTTGTTTTCTCACCTGGCCGGGAAGTCCCAGCCACCACCTGGACCAGACTGGTCACATTTCCTGCTCTTGACAGACTGAGGAGAAAAACAACCAGCAGCCACGAGAGCAGCCTCTGGGCTGGCCTCTGGCTCCTTGTGCCTCTCACAGAGCTCCCTTGGGCAGCCCGACCTCAAGGAATACCTCAGCTGGCTCGCCAGGGCTTCTGCCACCTCATGTGGAAGTGCAATCCAAACTGCTGTGCAAAGTAGCCAATGACCTTACCCCTCTCATCAGGGTGTGAGGACAGCTCACCTATCAGGCGAGGGTTCTGAAGCAATTAAGGAATGTGGGACGTAAAGGGCATGTATTAGCACTGACAAAACTTGGCTGCAGAAAGGTTTTTGTGCTTCACAGGCCAAAACATGACTAAGTCATAAATATACACAAGCCACGCTGCATATACAGTGGCAGGAAAACAGTCGTCTTTCTGAAGAACATGGAGACTATCTCTCGGAATTGTTTAGCAAATAAAAATCCATTTACGATAAATCATTTAAATTATACCCTAAATACAGACTGAGAAGATTTTCAAAGCCTCCTCTATCAGCAAACATCCCTTTTCCTTATTATTAAATAATCCTTTTCTGTATTACTATTAAATAATTATTATTAAAAGGTGCCTCAGAGCAGGAAGAGGAAGAAAGCATGAGTGACCTCCCCCAAAATAAAGAAATCAAGGACTGGTAAATTGAGATCCTTTATAGCCTTTTGGTTTTCAACCAATGGTTGACTCATCACCATTTACATATAGATGATCATAAATTATTTCTCAGTCTGTAAAGGAATGATGGCTGGAGCACGAGAGTTAATGTGAATTCACTTATGCATGCTTAAATAAAGTTATGAATTATAAAGCTCCCTTTTACAGAGGCACTAATCTTAATGAGGTACCAAGAGGAATAACGTGGTCTCCGGCATTCTATAACTCATAGCCCAGCTGCTCTTAAGACTCGAGATACACCGGGTTATGGGGTCCTTATGAACGTGAATAGTCTAGGTTATGAATGTAGAGGTGTAGAAAATTGGGAGAAAATGTACAAAGGCTCTAAATGTGACCTTTATTCAAGAAAAAATATTTTCTGAGCCCCTACCACATGCTAGGCATAATTTTAAAATCCGAGGGGATACAGAAGTGGGGGAAAAAGAAAAAGATGAAAATCCTTGCATTAAGAAGTCGCATTCTAATGAAGAAATACAAGATTTTGGTTTTATTTGTTGTTTAATCCTGAAAATAGTATTTTGCCCTGTGTGATTTCCCTTGTTCTTCCACAAGTAAACCCAGGAGAACATTCTGGGCCAAGGGCTCCAATGAATTCGGTCTGGCTGAGCTGTCTTGTGAATTAATCAAGCAAGTGGCTCCCCCATGCTGAGGATCTGTCTAACCTGCTCCGTGGAGCCTCTAGAGACAGCAGTGAGCACGTGAGAGCAACTCTGAGAGTCCGTCCACAAGCTCCTGGAGGGACAGAAACCACTAGGATCCACTTCTGACTTTCCTGATAAGCAGCTCCCCAGTTGTGCTAGAATTATTTCATTAAGGATTATTCAAGAATTCGGAATTTTTAAAATATCAGGGAGATTATCACACAGGAATTCTTTATTAAATTGTAACCCTCTAAATAGAAATGTCTCATTTCAGCCATGAAGGTTCCGGGTTCATTAGTCTGTAGCTTGATACTGTTTGTGGCAAAATTCTAAACTGGACGCTCTTCCATCAGTTGTGTCATTGGAATGGAGGTTCCAATTACACATCCCGCAAAATGTCTGCACTCTAACGTGCTATATAACCTGGCCCCTGCTACCTCTCAGTAGGCAGTTACCAGGCTTCTCAGGGTCACCAGCTCCAACCACACAGCCCCTTCCTGTGCTTCCCACACGCCAAGCACATGCCTACCTCAAGGTGCTCGCTGGACCAACCACCTCCTCTGCCTGGCACGTGCTTCTCCCAGTCTCTATGGGACTCCCTCCCCAGGTCCTTAAGTCTCCTCCTATCGGGGAGGTCTTCCCTGAACACACAGTCCTATCCTGCTTTACTTTTTTCCATAGCATTTATCATCACTGGAAACATTTTGTGAATTGGTTTATTGTACATGTACGTGCACGCGCACACACGCACACACACACACACACACACACGAATAGAAGCTTGAGAACAGGGATTTAGTCTATTTTCTTCACTGCTACAACCCCAGCACCTAAAACCAGTATCCACTGAGTTGTGGGCATGCAAATAGTTTTTAATGAACAAATCAATGAAGTGAAGAAAAAAAACAAACCTAGGATGCAAAATTGTGTAATTGTATATTGGGTCTGAGCTTAATTTTTTGAAATAGGGGCAGGACAGGAAAAAAAAAAAAAAGGACTGGAAGAAAGGGCCAACATGTTAAATTCTTTTTGACTTTCCAAAGTTTCTAAAATAATCAGACATTATACCCACATTCATAAAATGAAGTGAAATGAATAAAAGAAATAAGGTAAAACAGAAGGAAAAAAGCCAAACATACTGTAGCCTCTTAACTCTAGTGCTAACTCTAGTGCTCTAAGCTAAGGCCCATAGTCTAAGGAGGGTCCCAGAACCCTCCCTGCCCCCTCGCTTCCATCCCACTTACCAGTCTTAATCATCACCCTTCAAGCTTTTTAAGGAACTGGGATTAGGATATTAGTCTTATTATTCTCTAAATTGTCAATCACAGTGTCTGAGGCATACCAGACCTTGAGGCTTGATTCATGTGTTTGAGAACTAACACAGCAAAGAGCTCCTACCTCAGCAAAAAGCATCCCACGAGAAAGATCAACTTTTCAGAATGCAATGCAAGTTTTCAGACCTGAAACTACGTCTTTGACTCTTTGTCTCTGAAAAGTTTTGGAGTTCCTTTCTTCAAAGTAAGAGAGTCATCAAAGGCTTATTAACCCATGTTAACAGCTCCAGGGGGTTTGGCCTCAAAGTGATCAGTCTAGATCCAGCTCCGGATGAACTGGGCCTGATCCTGTTAGCATCCACCCTGGGGCTTTTGAAGAGGTTTTGCTTTATTAGTGACATGAGGACACATCTCCTTTGCAAGACTTCTGGAAGACAGGGCCCCATTAATCAGCCTGGCCACAGAGCTTCCAGTGTATAGATGCAGACACTCTTGTAGTCCATGATAAATAAATGAATCTATTCACAGCCCCCAAAAGCCAAGGCCAGAGTTAAACTGTGCCCCCAGTTACTTTCTCCTTTGTTTCAGGAAAAGTCTTTTGAAAAACATACCCTTTGGGAGCAGGAGACATCCAACAGAGAAAACCCTTTGGACTTCCCTCCTACTTAAGGCAGCTACAGAGTTGGAGGTAACAGAATAAGCTGGTTCCCACCAAAAAGGACCCACCTGTAATATGAGGGACTCCTTATCTCCTTCTAGACGTGCTAAGCGTTCCTGGTACGTTTCATTACTAGCAGCACTGTGGTGATTTACCTGGGACTAAAGGGAAGAGGAAAAAAACACACACTTAAAAGCCTGGAAAGACATCTTACCAACTTCCAAATGAAGTATGCAATTGGTGAGGTCAGTTTCGCTCATTATCTATGCAAAACCACCCACCTAAACAGGAAACCACAGGATTTCAAAACTACTACAAGGAGGACCAGATCAGATGCCACTGATAGGCATGCCATGAAAGGTGGCAAAAACCACCCTCTGGGTGACCTCACCTTTGGCTAGAAAGGCCTCGGTGGAACTCCAGACCCGGTGGTGCTTGACGTGACTGGGCGTGTTGGGTCTGGTTTAGCTGGAGGCACAGCCGGCCAGAAGCACCAATAGCAATAAGGGTCTACTCTTTGAGACCAGGGAGCTGGTACCATTCACCGAGGAACTATATGGGAACAACTCCTGCACATATCTTGTCTCCTGACTCTCACGCCAAAGTTCTCCAGAGCCGAGGCACACCTCACAGCGTGGAGGCTCATCCTGAACATCGCAGGGAGCCTGGAGGATGAGGGATGCCAAACGGAAGGCCCTTCATCTACTCGCCCATCCCTTTCAGAAGTGGCCGATCGCACCCCTCAATAAGGGCTCTGGCAACCAGGGTGGCACATGGAGTTGCTGCAGTGTTAGAGCTGAGAGGAATAAGCTAAGAAGAAACGTCTTGAGAAGAACCCAAATGACAGCCAGAGGGATCTCAAGGGCCAAGCAGAGGGAAAACACAGGAAATACCAAGTAGTCGGAAACCATGGAAAACAGAGGAAAGGGAGATTTCAGATGGCAGTCGAGAGGCAAAGCTTATAAAATGCCCTGAGCTAGAGACAGGAGCTGCAGTCACTTCCTGGGTGTGTCTGCCCTGGTTGTAGGCAGGGAGGAGGGAGGTAGCTGCTAATGGAACTGAACTGGCCCAGTGCTACGACTACACCCTTCTTCCACGAGGAATTTAAGGGCCCAAACCAGAGGCGCACAGTAGGCCATCCAGGGGCTCAGCGGTCTGAAAAAGCAGATCTTATTGCTAAACGGGGAAATGACACTCCTTGACACCTGGGCTGGTCCAGCGGAGTCAATGCTCCAATGTTCGTAAGGCGGGTATCCTATATCCCAAAGGAAAGTCACGATTGTAAAAGGAGAATGTCAGAGAGGAGACCAGGCACAGAGAAGGGCCCAGAAGTGGTCCCCTTCTCCTGAGCCCATTTCGCCACATTCCAGCCTTCAGAATGGGCTTTCCAACCACACCCCACCTGCCCCATTAGGAAAAGATACCTCCTGCCTTCCCTCGTCCCATCCCTTCCCCAGTGCACTGCCTAGGTGAGGGCAGGTGGCAGAGCCAGGCCTGGTTCCAAAATGAAACAGGGACCAAGAAATCTGCATTCAAGCCGTGGAGTGTCACCTGTGAGGGAAGCACTGGCTGTCTGTCGAAGGTGCAGCGGGAGGGTGAGCCCAGGGGCCACTTCCCAGGGCAGCTGTGCCAGGCACAGGCCAGACGGACAGGGCACCCCTGCCATTCCCCTGCCTTTTCGTCTAGCCCCTCTCCAGTCTGCATCTTGTTCAGTGTTATGGAAGCTCTTTCATACCATAAACAAAGGGCCTTAGCAATCACTAATGGCTTCTTTGTGTTGATAGCAGTTTATTATTGTTCCATTAATTAATATTCCAGTCATCACACGGTCAAACACTGACTAGTATCCAAAGATATAATTAGAACCTACATTTCTCAGAGCCTAACAAGAAAAGAAAGGAAATAGCTCTTAAGCAGGTCAATTGCTTCTCTGTCCAAGAACTCACATGATGGTGACTTTCAGAGGAGAGAGACTGAGAACAGAAAGGACCCAGGCACCCAAGTGAAGCTGTGTGGATCCAGCGCCGAAGTCAGCACATGCACAGGGCCACCCACCACTGGCAGCTGGCACTTCTCCAGCAGGAGACGAAGGGAAGGCTCCTTCCACAAGACTCCGGCCAGCTACCGCACCACCTGAGCCTCAGCCAAATGGAGTGCAGTGTGTTCATACGATAAAAGACCTACCCACACAATCACCCAGAGAGGCAGCTAGCTGACCAAAAAAAAAGAGGAAGGAAGGAAGTTGATATCATAAGTTCAGTTAATACACAAAATGCGTGCCATAGAGTCTATAACACATGCTAGAAGTAGATTAAAAAAAAAACAACTGAATCTACTCTAGCAGCCAATGGAAAAAGGGAAGCACAACTGAGTTAAAAGATGCACAGATCAGTATGACAAAGTCAAGCTAACTGCCTAGGAGAAGCACAGCTCTTCCTAAGGAAGGGAGAACCACCCCTTGTTTCCACAGAGAGACTTTGTGTAGTGGGATAAACAACATTCGTGATGATATCCTCACAGTAAACGGAGCCCAGCAGAACTCACTGCTTTCCTGTGATGTTCTCAAAATAGGTCAAAGGTTAGTGGATAACGTGGGCCAAAAACCAAAGCAATTCTATGGAGACCAATACAATGTGGTCCAAGTACCGTGCTCTAGACACAAAGTGGGCACTTAGGCAGCGCTCACCATGTGCCAAGCACTGTCGAGAGCACTTTACATATATTAATTCATTTAATCCTTCCCACAACTCTGCTAGATAGGTACTATTTTTATTCTAATTTTACACTTAAAGGAACTGAGACACAAAGTATACAAACAAGGCACAAATGGATTATTTGCCCAAGTTACCATGTACGAAACCAGTAAGCTCTCTGTTACAGCTTGAGGAACAGATGAGTATAAATTTTGTTTTATACATTGTGATTGTATGAAAGTTCACTTAAAATAAGGTGTAAAAATGCTGTCTGAACCTAAATATCCATTAATAGAGGAGTGGATAAACTGTGGTTCACCCATATTACAGACAATCTGTAGCATTTTAACATGAGGCAGATTTTTATGAACCATCATAGAAATACAAGACATACTGGATAGTGAAAGCAGCAAGATCCAAAGAACCATGTGGTGTGACACTAGAAAACAGTACCATCCAGCTCCGCAAGTACTGATATATATATATGAAGGTAAATAGATCCAGTGTCTGGAAGGCTACAGAACAACCCTTAACAGTGCTCTCTTTTGGGGAAGTTTCTGGGCTACGAAAAGTTGGGAGTGGGAGGTTTGGTCAAGAGGGGCTTTAACTATAATATCTGAGCTTCTTATAAAAATATATTTGGGCTTCCCTGGTGGCACAGTTGTTGAGAGTCCACCTGCCGATGCAGGGGACACGGGTTTGTGCCCCGGTCCTGGAAGATCCCACATGCCACGGAGCGGCTGCGCCCGTGAGCCATGGCCACTGAGCCTGCGCGTCCGGAGCCTGTGCTCCGCAATGGGAGAGGCCACAGCAGTGAGAGGTCCGCGTACCGCAAAAAAAAAAAAAAAAAAAAAGTTTATTTACTTGAGTAATTAAAATATATTTAAAAATCTAGAAGCACCGTTTGAGTAGCTAGAACAGTTCTTGGTGCTTTTTTCCTCCCCTAACAGACTTGAGGGGGCACATCCTTCCCCAGCAGTCACACTGGCCCATGTGGCTGTGCTGCATGTGGCAGAAAAGTGCCTCCTTTGACCCAAATCACCATTGTAGACGAGCAGGGCATCTTCCTCTCATACAGTTGACCAAAATCACTGCTGTTCTCTAGCAAGCTTTTGAAAGGTATTAAACAAGAGTGAGATGGAAACAATGTCCCAGAAAGAAGTCTGCCACATCGTTATCCCTTGCTTTTGGTGAAGTTCAGAGTCCTGTGTTGTCACATTCTACAGAAGACGGACAGCTCTCAAGAAAACTGCACTCAAGCCTTAGCTGGTCACAGACCAGGATAAAACACACCTCTGCTTGAAGAACCTGGAAAGCAACTGAGAACAGGGCCAAGAAGAACATCTTGTTGAATGCCAACATTTATTAGCCAAAGGTGAGGGTTTGAGTTTTGAGTGAATAAATGCATACTCCTTATTCCAGTAACTGGGCAACAGGTTCAGTCACTTTTGGGCATCATTCTTGGATTATAAAATGGCTGTATCATCAGGGCATAAAAGGCCAGAAGGTTATGAAAATTATTGATAAACATGTTTAAAAAGACAGAGTCGGGACACAGCTCTGTTTTGCCCGACTTTCAGAAGAGCTTGCTTTCTCAGAGGCTACATCTGCTTCCTTAATTCTAACAGTGGAATTGTAGTAGAAGTCTTGGATCAATACTGAGATCATCAACTGGGTCCCTGAGTGATTCCAGGTTTGGGAGTCTCTGAAAAGTCTTGTCCATATTCTCTATTAGGTAACTTGGTGATAGAGCAGTTGCCCAGCTCTCTATGCATAAAGTCAGATGGAGAGAACCATGCCAGCATTCCACCGAGGAGAAGAAAGTCACACCGAATTCCGAAGGATGCTACATGCTAAGTTTCGATTCCTCCCCGCTCTGGGATGGCAAGTGATCTAAAGGAGAGTTCTATACTGTTCTACCCTGTTAAGGATGCTCAACCCATTGATAAATAAAAATTAAAAAGAGGTCATTTTTACTCAACTAATGATGTTAAGCCCCTAGGCTAGACCTGTACAACGGACTTCTGATGTACTAAGGTGTGATATACATATAGTTGATCAAATTTTTCTCTTCTGTTTTGATGGTTATTTCTACAAATGTGACAGGGAAAAATGAATCTTCTCATCTAAACTTTCCATCGTCAAAGCTATCCCTGAAACTATAATTCACCTTAGTTACCTGATATAATATTGTGTGGGACCAAGAGATATTGTGAAGGCCAGAGATCTGCGTACCCTATGGAGGTGAAATGGCAACTACAGATTGACATTTCCACGTCCTCTTGCGGCGCTTACTGAAGAGCGCCACAGTGAAACATACTCCCTCTCTCTCATATCACAGAACTGAAGCAGCACGGGGAGTTCTTCTTGTGTGTATGTTGTCAATAACTCAGAAACTTTAGCCAAGACTATTGAAGTTAAACCACCTTTGCTTCTATCAAAATTTTACCCTCAAGAGGCTGGACAAA